GCCCAGGAGAACTGCCAGGCACTGCCACACTGCCTCCTCCATTGCCACTGACTGGAAGAAAGAAATGCTCAAATGTAAACACCATTCACATTAGGACTTGTCCAGCACACAGTGACTAGACAGGAACCAACAAGGACTCAATTTTTCAACATGAAACACAACATATAGCCTCTTTGCAAATTGGACTCTCCTTATTTGGTATACGATGGAGCCTTGAAAACTATAAGCTATACTTTATGTTGCTGCTCTGTATCATAGTTAAGACATTAAAATATGGAACATTAGGCTGTCAGTGCCACAGAAAACTGTTACAGTAACACTAACATTGCCAAGGGCAAGGTGAAGTCAAGCGCTACTGTCTAAAAAGTCCCTATCGGTAACGGCATTTGTCACACGTTAGAACCGTAATTTTATACCTATAGCTAAGCACTGTGTGTGTTATCAGAATGACTCAACGTGCCCCTTAGGCACACAGATGCTTCAAAAAATGTTGAGAGTTTTGATTTTCCTATAAAATGAGGTAAAAAAGAAAAAGTCACAGATAATTTTTAAATGGATGTTTCTAGAACATGAATATGAGAAGGCTATTGATTTCTTAGCAATGATAAAATATTTATTGCATATAGAATACATTTTAAAAGCAGAAAATCATGGTAAACAAATTTTTTTTTTTTGGTGAGGGAAATCAGCCCTGAGCTAACATCTGTGCTAATCCTCCTCTTTTTGCTGAGGAAGACTGGCTCTGAGCTAACATCTATTGTCAATCCTCCTCCTTTTTTTCTTCCCCAAAGTCCCAAGTAGATAGTTGTATGTCATAGTTGCACATCCTTCTAGTTGCTGTATGTGGGACGCAGCCTCAGCATGGCCGGAGAAGCGGTGCGTCGGTGCGCACCCGGAATCCGAACCCAGGCCGCCAGTAGCGGAGCACGCGCACTTAACCGCTAAGCCACCAGGCCAGCCCAATGGTAAACAAATTTGATCCACTGAATTAAAACTACTTGAAGTAGTCTTAATTCATGCTAGCAATAATCCCTAACAAAATCAATTATTTATGATTAAATCACTGGTTGAATATTTCATTTGATCATCAAAAAGCTAAAATTTACCGTTCATATAAAAGGCAGCATAAATACAAAGGCTGCCAACTGGGAAATTTCTAGCACAAGAGCTTCAATATCTCAGGACACCATCATCTCTCCCCTTTTCTATAGACTTACAAAAGCAAAGTTTATTTGCTGCAATAAGATTCTTGTTTCCTTTCTCAAGTAAATTCTTGGTTTTGGGTGATAAATTAGAAAAAGCAGACACTTATGTCTTAGGATCATTTTTGGAATATAAATATCACATCTATAAGGTAAATGTCTATTAAAATGCATGGAAAAATAGCCTTCTCTGAAAGGAAAGAATGAGCTCTCAATTTCTCTGAGATCAGACAGAAATATAAAGGTCCAAGACTCTAGAGACCTCATGTTCCACAGCCCTGAACCTGGAGGCGGTTAACAACACTTGACCATAATGGTAAATATGCTTTGTATTTTCAACATGTTGCTACCTATAGGAAACAAATACCTGTTAACCTGACTGCAGAAGTAATTTTTTTCTTCTTTAATCAGTGACTTGAGAATTTACATCATTGGTTATCAGATTTTGGGTGAGGAGACAGGAGTATATTTCTTCCTGAACTGAAGAAAAAGGGAGAGACCCTCAAAAGAAGAATGAATCTGAACTAGACACCTGGTAGAAAGGACTAAATCAGACTGTATGTTTAAAAACCAAGGAAAAAAATGATAAAACATAACTATTCTCTGAACTCTTTCTTAAGAAACTAAATTATTTATACTTCCCAATTACTGTCTTATACCCCAGAATCTGGGCTAAAGCAGGGCGCTATGATTTCCTACATGACCTTATACCTAAGGAACTAGACATGACACTTTGTGCATCAAAATAAGCAAATGACCTATTACAAGTAGTTTTGTACCAAAGAAAAGTGAGAATTGGCTTTTGCTAAATGTAATCCTCATTTATGGAGCCAGCCATTGAATATAGGTTTAATGTTCTGGTCAACTAATTTTAAAATGTTGCACTCCATAAGGTACTTCTCCAGGGTCACCATACTAGCCGATAATGAGTGAATTACACTTTCTTTTTCTAGGTGAACAATCTACATGAATATAAAATAAAACTGCTAAGTCCTAATTTCTTTTCTATACTCTCCAGCTGCTTTCCTTTTGGGAGAAGGAGGTTTAGGATATAGTAAATTCACACCATCAGATTAGACGTGCGGAATAACTGGACAATTGCCAATGATTCACTCCCAGCAAGGTAGAAGCAACTTTTGCATCATTAGTGTGGATGCTACAAAGGCACTGCCGTATCAAAGAGAGGCATGCGAGAAACCCAAGGGTCAGAAAGCTGGCTCTCCTGGTCTATCTCATCTCACAAGAAATTATAGTTGCTAATGAACACATGCTCTAAAGTGAAAAAAAAAAAAAGCTTCATATTTTCCAATGTGGCTAAAACAAAGAAAAGTGGCAGGAGATACTCAAAAGACTAAATCTTAAACCTGCCTCTATCAAATTATAAATCTTTTGTTCTTCAATTTAACTGATTCTGTTTCGGTTTCACTACATTTGAGAGGAATACCAGAAATAATAACTGTAAGGCAACATAGCATATTCACTAAGTCCTCCACATGAGTTGTTAAATAACAGAACTCTACTGGCTTGTGATTTTTTTACTCTCCCTATTAACTTAAAGTTAGCAATGGGAAACCAAAATGAAAATTAGGAAGACAGAAAGAAATGTTCTTATTTAAAAATATGTATATTTGGAAAAAGGCCTAGTGGAATAAAGGGCTAAAATTAGCCTTTGTATAAGCAACGTACTAATATTGAAGGCAGCACTAGTCAATTAAACACAGCACAAGTGGCTCACACCATATTTTAACGGTGTTCTCTTTAGCAATGGCAACAGCAATTCCAACAGCCATAATAATCCATAAATTGTCTACACATTTGTCAAAAATCATGCACTAGACTATCATTTTCTAAAATGTGAACCTGGTTTTGTTTTTGTTTTTTTTTAAAGATTTTATTTATTTATTTTCCCCCCAAAGCCCCAGAAGATAGTTGTATGTCATAGCTGCACATCCTTCCAGTTGCTGTATGTGGGACGCGGCCCCAGCATGGCCGGAGAAGCGGTGGGCGCCGGGGATCCGAACCCGGGCTGCCAGCAGCAGAGCGCGTGCACTTAACCGCTAAGCCATGGGGCCAGCCCTGAACCTGGTTTTGGAAGTCATATTTCTAATAAGAAGAATCTTAAGATTAGGGCAGAAATCTAGACTATTGCCTGGGTTCAGAAGATACCCGAATACTTAACAGTTTCTATTCCAAGAGACTATTACAAAGCACTGTAAGCTTACAACAGTGTCACATTCTTTTTGCTTGAAATAGTGACAAGTGACAATGCGAGTTAATGTGAGCATGCTTTTTTTGTGAGGAAGACTAGCCCTGAGCTAACATTGTTGCCAATCCTCCTCTTTTTGCTGAGGAAGATTGGCCCTGGGTTAACATCCATGCCCATCGTCCTCTACTTTACATGGGACACCAGCACAGCATGGCTTGACAAGTGGTACATCGGTCCGCACCCGGGATCCAAACCTACGAACCCCGGGCCGCCGAAATGGAGCACACGAACTTAACTGTTACGCCACCAGGCCAGCCCCTAACGTGAGCATTTTTATTGTGCTTATGCTAGAGATGGAGAACTTACAGCTGAACTCCCAATACTTACATCTCACATATACTCATTTACATAAACACAGAACATATACACAGTACACACACACACACACACACACACACATTCTGTGTGAGCATGAAAGCAAAGTGAAGAAAAACACTAAGTTGGCTCAAATATTTCCCCTAAGAGCACTTTCCTGGAACTGTACAATCGAGAAAAGTTCATTACCTATAACTCTGAAAAAAACAGCACAAATACCTCAGACTCAGATGTCTAGATAGTTTGGCCTAGACTCTCAATTCAAAGGTCAACTAAAAATCTCAAATATGCTTTCTCATTTTTTTCTATTTTTAGTAATAAAGAATAGGAGTTTAACTTTTTCCTACCGTCAAAAGCTAAATTAGCCAGAATCACATATAAATGATTTTAAGTTAGAAAAGCAAAATGAATATTTGAAAAAAAAAGTGTAAAATCCAATTTCTTATAAGAACATAACTCATAAGAACGCCAATATCTACTTAAATCTAAAGTATAGGATCATTGTTGATAGGAAATGAATTGTTTGCATTCTGGTTTTATTATAAGGTAAAGAGTTAACATTCTTAAGATGCTAAAGTTGTAAAGTTAACTCAAAATCACCAAATCAGAAAGAGGCTGTGATAACCACTTGTATATTCCCTAAGGGCTTCGGCATTTTCCTGAATTTTACCATGTAAATGTGACAAAACCACACACCACACTTCTGCCACAGAGACAAAGGCAGTTACTCCATTAAACAATAAAATTTTAAAACATGAGGTAACAAAGACCTACATTCAAGGACAATCTTGAAGGCAAGAAGTGGCAGAAAAATTCTTAGTATTAAAAGAGAAAACAGTTCCTTTTTTACTAGTCTTCAAAGACCATAAGAAAGATGAAGCTTTTGGAGCCTAGCTTTTGGAATTCAACTTGACGTAGTTATCTCAACAGAGAAAAGGATGGAGATGCGTAAAAATGTAATTCAGGTTAAAGATAGATGTCATGTTGGGGCCACTCACTCAGCCCTAATTTCTAGATGCCAAATTCATTTTTACATTTAAAAGGAGAAAAATGCAATTTAGATTATATAGTTTCATCTATACATGTGAAGGCTTTCATGAAGGCTGACAAACCAGCATAATAAATTTTTCTGCCTGGGATTAAATATCAACTAATCATCTGGCCAGTTAGAAAAATTAAAGGTAGGACATACATGTAGGAACACACAGAATAGTTACCTTCAGCTGATTATTGAAAATATCAATCTCCTGTAGTTTTGATCTAGTTTCCTTCTCAACCTCATCCAGTTGGTCTCGTAGCTGCTGCCGAGCCAGTTCTTTTGCTTCTAAGGCTCTTTTCAGTGTAAGAAGTGAATCTCCTATTTTAGAAAAACATTGCAACATAAGAAAAACAAACTGGCAGTGAGGAAAAATGGGTTTGAAGGTTCTTATTTCACTTAAGGAAATTCTTGCCAGGAAAAAAGGAAAAGGACAACTTTAAAAATAAAAACACCTACTGTGCAAACTGTTTTGCTGAACTTGTTTTAATTGGTCATTGAGAATCTGTTTTTCTGGAATAAGTCTTCCGAGCATTTGCTGAGACTCCTAGGAGAGAAGGAGGAACACAACAATGAATGACGGGGAAAACCACCACGTGTAGATCCGACGCCCAGGCAGACATCAGTCAGTTTTCTCGTCCCTCACAGACTCTTCGGATATCATCCCAAATCCTCTATGGTGAAACTGCATTTAATTGCTAGTCAGGGCGGTTCCTGCTTACTTGCCAAGAAATCACTGTTTGCCAAATGCTTTTCACTGAAATAGAGTTAAGACAGTTATAGCTCCCTCGATATTTCTTAAATTTTTGTTGACTTACTGCCTATTTATAAGCCTTAAAAAAATGTACTTTAAGTACAGCTCAGCAGAGAAAACTGAAAATAATGATCTCTCAATGGCACTGGGTCAAAATGTAAATGCAGTGACCTTGCTGTTTGTAATGTGACTCAGGTGTTTAAATAGGAACTATTCAATTCTGAACTTTGACACTTTATAGGGCTGAACTGAGGTTGACCAAACACCTGAAGTTGGAAACAGAAACAAAAAGGGATTTTTAACAACTAGAATCTTAGCTGTCGTGTATGTTTTTCCACCACTCAGCAGGGAGCTACAATCTTAAACAGGTACACAAAAGTCTTGAACCAACTAGTTTTTAACTGACATAAGACAAAATCTAAACCACACTGTACAAAGCTATTGGGAGTTTTCAAGGGTGACTTGTCAAGCACTGTATTTGCTTAAGTTCAGCTGAAATGATTCCATATAGTTTCTACATTTCAGTCAAATGACAGCCTTCTCAGCAAATAATAAGGATTACTTGACTTTCATTTTTGCCTTGATTAAAAAAGAAAAAAACTCTATGTATTGACTTTTGGTTTGAAAAAATAAAAATGCCTTACTTAAAATTTTTCACCAGAGGCTAAGAATCATTCTCTCTTGGAACTACCGTCTTTAGACACACTGGCTGGTGTGTAGTAAATCTTTGTGCTCTATATGTCTGATAGTAGAGAGATTCAGCTCAACAGAGAGGATTTGGAAGCATCTTCTCACATGAATAATCCACCCCCCTAGCCCGCCCAAATCTGGACAAAACAGAATACAGGAATCGGATTGTTTTCCCACAAAGCACAGCCAATGGAGCTTTTCTTAGTCTCCTCCCTAAATTAAGGCAAGGCCCCGTAACGCAATCCCAAAGCTTCTTTCCTGAACCCAGACAAACAATGGAGTATCAAGATGAAGCCTGGCTCAGATCACTATCATTGCTTTTAAATGCCAACCCAAGTTTCTAAAATACGTCAGACCAATATGAAGGGCTACCTGACTTATCGCACAACAAGTTATCTGCTAATTCCAGTAAGGCGGGGAACCAATCTCTCATTGCCTACTACATATCTGAGTTTCTTCAGACAGTGTATTAGTTTTCACTTCAGTACTTTTTCAGGAATGCTGATTTGTATTTTGTTATCAGTAACGGGACATACTAAGTGTCAATCTTAAATAATAAAAATGAGTTTGGTCACAGAGCATTCAGTGAGATCATAGACACATGGCCTTCACTCCTAATTTTCTAAGGGAATACTTTATGAAACTTTGCATAAATAGTTAATGAAAGACATATAAAAACAGTTACCATATAGAAGAATATACTTTAAAAAGGTGTATGCATTTTTTAATATTTCAAATAATTTCTAGCAGTGAACTTCTGATATTATTTACACTATATGTCATATCCTATTATCTTAAATAAGACTTTGACTTAGGACTTAAACTTGATTTAGAATTTGATTAGGACTTAAAAGTACATGAAACAACAACTGACAAACCAAAAGGAAAATAGGCAAATTTACAATGATTGAGATTGGAACACTCCTCTCTCAGCAGCTGAAAGAATTCACAAAATCAGTAAGGACACAGAAGATGTGAACAACACTCTGAATCAACTTGATCTGACTCCCATTTATGACACTCCACCCAACTACAAAAGAGTACACCTTCTTTACAGGTGCACGTGGAATATTCACCAAGACAGATCATACACTGAGCCATAAAATAAATCTCAATAAACTTAAAAGGATTAAAAAGAATTGAAATCATACATAATATGCTCACAGATCATAACATAAATAAATCAGAAATCAGTAAGCTATCTGGAAAAAAAATCTAAATATTCAGAAACTAAACAGCATAATTCTAAAAAACCCTCAAAGAAGAAATGACAAAGGAAATCAAAAAATATTTTGAATTAAATAAATATGAAAACACAACATGAAAAAAATCTGTGTAATATGGTTATGACAATGCTTAGAAGGAAATTCATAGCTTAAAATGTTTATATCAGAAACGAGCAAAGGTCCAAATTCAATAAGCTAAGCTTCCTCCTTATGAAGCTCGACAAAAGCAAATTAAATCCAAAATAAGTAGATGGAAAGAAATAATAAAGAGCCTAAGTAAATGAAATAGAAAACAGACATACCATAGAGAAAAATCAATAAAACCAAGAGCTTTTAAAAAAAAAAAAAAAAATCAATAAAATCAATAAACTTCTAGCTAGATTGATGGAGAAAAGAATGAGGATAAGGGAGAGGAGAAAGAGGAGGAGGAGGGGGGAGGAGAGGAGGAAGTAGGAGTCAGAGGGGGAAAGAGAAGATACCAATTTCCCATATTAGCAATGAAAGAAGCGACATCACTACAGATACTACTGACTTGCAAAGAATAATAAGAGAACATTCTAAACAACTTACACAAATAAATTTGATAACTTGGATGAAATGGACAAATTCATTGAAAGATACAAATTATCAAAACAAACTCAAGAAGAAACAGAAAATCTGAATAGCCCTATATATCTATGGAATGAGTTTTGCAATTACAAGTCCTCCCACTGAGAAAGCTCCAGGCCCCAAAGGTTTCAATTTTTGGTGAATGCCACCAAAAATTTACAGAAGAAATACCGTTTCAACACAAATATTTTTAGAAAATAGAGGAGGAAAGAATACTGTCCAATTTATTTTCTCATTTATTACCCTGATACTAAAACTAGACAAGGACATTATGAGAAAATGATAAACTAATATCCCTCATGAATTGAAATGAAAAGATCCTTAACAGTAGCAAATTGAATCTAGTAAAATATTTTTTAAACAATAATACACCATGACCAAGTGTGGTTTATTCCAGCAATGGAAAGTTGGTTTAACATGCAAATTTCAATCAACATAAATCGCCATATTAACAAAATAAAGGAGAAAAAACATGTAAACATCTCAATAGATGCAGGAAAAAAAAATATGACCCAATTCCACACCCGTTCATGATAAAAAACTCTCAGCAAACAATGAATAAAAGCGAATTCCCTCAGTCTGATAAAGGGCACCTACAAAAAACCCTACAGTTAACACCATACTTAATGGTAAGAAATTGAATGCTTTCCCCCTAAAAACAAGAAGAAGACTCTCACCACGTTTATTCGACATAGTACTGGAGGCTGTGATCCACTCAGTTAAGACAAAAAAAGAAATAAAAGGTACATAGATTGGAAAGTAAGAAACAAAGCTGTCTTTATTCATAGACAATAGGTTTATGTACACAGAAACTCTAAGGAACTATTAAAAAGCTATTAGAACTAATAAATGAATTAAGCAATATCACAGATATAAGGCCAATATATAAAAATGTATTCTATTTCTATATACTGGCATCAAACAATTGGATATTGAAATTAAAATCTGCAATATACAATAGTATCAAAAGCCACAAAATACTTAGGGATAAACTTTACAAAATATGTACAAGACTTGTACACTGAAAACTACAAAACATTGCTGCAAGAAATTTATAATACAAAAATCCAAATGAAATTGAGAGAGATGCCATAAGACAATATCGTTAAGATGTCAATTCTTCCCAAATCAATCTATAAATTCAATGGAATTCCAATTGAAATTCTAAGTATTTTTGCAAAAACTGACAAGCTGATTCTAAAACTTACGTGGAAATGTAAAGGACCTAAAATAGCCAACATAATTTGAAAACGAAAAATACAGACATAGATCAATGCAACAAAATAGAGTCTAGAAAAGACTTTCACGAATATGGTCAATTGATTTTCAACAAGCTACCAAGGTAATTTAACGGGGAAAAGGGCAGTATTTTCCATAAATTTTGCTAGAACAACTGGGTATTGGTATGAAAAAAAAAATGAACCTTACTCTTACCTTACGCTTATGTAAAAATCAATTTGAAATGGATCATAGACCTAAACATATAAGATAAAACTACAAAACTCCTGGAAGAAAACATAAGAGAAAAATATCTGCAACCTTGGGATAGTCAAAGATTTCTCAGATAAAACACAAAAAGCATGAAAATTAAGAAAAAATTAATATAATGAACTTCATCAAAATTTAAAACTTCTGTCCTTTAAAAAACACCATTACAAAAATGAAAAGGCAAGCCACAGATTGGGTGAAAACATCTGCAAAACATATCCCTAGAAAAGGACGTGTATTTATAACATATAAAGAACTCCTACAATTCCATAATAAGATAAACAACCCGATAAAAAACAGGAGAAGATCCGTTTACAAAAGACACACACAAAAAGATAGATGCCAATACACATATGAAGTGATGCCCAACATCATTAGTCTTCAGGGAAATGCAAATTAAAGCCTCATGAGATACCGTTACACACCCACTAGAAATGTTAAAATTAAAAATAATGATAATACCAAGTGTTGGCAAGGATAAGGAACAATGGAAGCAGTCATACACTGCTGGTGAGAATGTAAAATGGTACACCCACTTTGGAAACAGTTTGATAGCTTCCTAAAGGGTTAAGCATATATTTATATGACACAGTAACTCCACTGTATTTTAACCAAGAGAAATAAAACATTTTTCTGGGGCCAGCCCGTGGCATAGTGGGTAAGATCGCGCACTCCGCTTCAGTAGCCCAGGGTTCACAGGTTCAGATCCCTGGCGCGGACCTATGCACCGCTCATAAAGCTATGCTGTGGCGGCATCCCACGTACAAAATAGAGGAGAATGGGCATGGATGTTAGCTCAGGGCCAATCTTCCTCAGCAAAAAGAGGAAAGACTGGCAACAGACGTTAACTCAGGACCAAAAAAACCCACATATTTCCACAAAAAGACTTGTAAATAAATGCTCATGGCAGTTTTCTTCGTTAAGTCCCAAACTGGAAGGAACCTAAATGTCAATCAACAGGTGAATGGATAAATAAGGAAAATCTACTCAGTGATGAAAAGGAACCAACTACTGATTCTTCACTCAACAATATGAATAAATCTCCAAGTCATCATGCGGAGAGAAAGAAGCTGGGATAAAAGTCACAAAGTTCAAAAATGATCATCTTTTATGATGACATGCAGAACAATATCTACGTGAATTTAATGCCCCCTCAGCTCAACAACTGAAACCAAACCAGGTGATACTATAACAACTTGGTGGCCAACTTTGGTTAGGTAACAAAATGAAAGGAGAATTGCTTATAGTACCCTACTGAGTCCTCAACTATTCTCTCCACATATCTCTCATACTGCCCCTAAAATAATTAATTGCACTTCTTTATGGTGGTTATCACAGTAAAGCCAACATCCCATGAGTGGACTACAGGTTCTACGTGATCCAGACCCCACCTGCTCCAACCACAGTGGTCTCCTTGCTGTAACCAGCCTCCCAGAGACCGGCTACAGCCTCAGGACTTTTGTACTGCTGGTCCCTACCTAGAGCTTGCTCAGCCAGATAGCCACACGGCTTAGCCGCTTCTCTCTTTCAAGTCTTTGCTCAAACAGCACCCTCACAGAAAGGACTGTCCCGACCACCTTGTTTAAAATCACAGCCTTCTCGACTGCCAGGACTCTCTCTCTCTTCCCTACTCACTCTCCAGAGCACTTTTCATCATCTACTAGAGCACATACTTCATTTATTCTGCTAGTGTCTATCTGCCCTGCAAATAGATGGTAAGCTCCATGAAGGTGGGGTTCTTGTCTCTGTTGTTCACTGTTGGATCCTCAGTGCCCACCAGAGCGCCTTGCCTGCGTGCAGCAGTGCTCAGCAAACACGTGTTGAGTTTGTTTACTTCACAGCCTACTTTTCAGGCAAGGACCTTTCTACTTCATCCTGACTTCCCAGTGCTTAGTCCATGGAAGATGCTTGTTGAACGAATAAATGAATGAAATGAATTAGAGAACAAGCACATAAGCCTAAAAGCTTTTAAGGGACGTATTTTCTCACCTGTAATTGTTGCTGTAGATGGGTGATTTCAGCAATTCTCAACTCTCTGGATTTGTTGGTACTCTCAATTTCTTGCCTTTGGGTGGTCAATCGACATCTGATATCTTGAAGTTTTCCTTCTAGTTGATGTTTTTTATCATTCTTTAACAAATGAAAAATAATAAGAATTATTAGCGTTTTTAATGACTCAGTGTTAGTATATTCCCAAAGCATAATCAAACTTTACTCACTAGAGCTTCTAATTCAAATTCCAAAGTCTTTTTCTTTGCTTTCAGTACAACTATGTCCTCTTGTTCTTTGTTTCTTCGATTTAGTAGTTCTTGCCTTCGATTCCGTTCCCACTCAAGCTGTTGCTGCCTTTCAAGTTCTCGTTTTGCAGCCTGTGACATACAAACAGATGATTTATTCATTTTTCAGTTCTTAACACTATATAATGTCTCTTAACAAATGTAACATATAGTGAGTCTTTTCTTTTAGGGATGAAATATTATTAAGCAATATTATAAGCAATTATATTACAGAAAAGCAGAAGAATTTTATACAAATACAGTATTCCATCTATGGGAAAAAAGAGAATATTTAGAAAAGCTATTATATTTACATGAGATGAGGACAGGATCCCTTCACCATTGCAATTTAATTCTTTATGCCTTCAAGAATGCTTATGTGCTAAATAACATTGCTCTTCCTTATTTACTAACTCAAAAGAACAAGGAAAATTTCTTTTTTTTCCTCCCCAAAGCCCCAGTGCATGGTTGTATATCCTAGTCGTAAGTCCTTCTAGTTCTTCAATGTGAGCCACCACTTCAATGTGAGCGTGGCAACTGACAGATGAGTGGTGTGGTTCCACGACTGGGAAGAGAACCCGGGCTGCCGAAGCAGTGAGCACCGAACTTTAACCACTAGGCCATCAGGGCTGGCTCAAGGAAAATTTCTTTAATCTAGAAAAATCAAACCAAAAGCCCCAGAACAAAAAAAAAAAAAAAAAAACTTTCTTCCAGGGCTAGCCCCAGTGGCCTGGTGGTCAAGTTCGGTGTACTCCACTTCAGCAGCCCAGGTTCAATTCCCAGGCATGGACCTACACCACTCATTGGTGGCCATGCTGTGGCGGTGACTCACGTACAAAATAGAGGAAGACTGGCACAGATGTCAGCTCAGGGTGAATCTTCCTCAAGCAAAAAAAAAAAAAGTTCTCCCATCAAATGAGTAATTATTATTTCTTCCATTAAATGAGAAATTATTATTTATCTCAAGTTTTAAAAGTCTGTGACCCCATCTCCCTAATCATTCATTTCCTTTTTAACCATAGAAGGTTCTGTAATATCTCTGGCAATGTCAGCTCTCTTCAAAGCTGACTCTGATGGCAGCCAGGGAAAGCGCCTGTCAAGAGTACCTGGGACTCTTTATTGTAATTGCTTCTTATGTACTGTCCTTCAGCTACACACTGTAAGGGCGTGGAGAACAGGTGGAGTACCTATTCACCATGATATCTCCAGGGACCATCAATGCCTCCCACATGGTAAATGCCTATTAAATAATTCTGAATAAATACTCTAAAATGTCTTTTTTTTTTTAATTGAAAAAGGAAAGGTTGTCTATCTTTTGATTATCCATTCTGGGAATTAAAATCCTGTTGGTGTCTGTGTGTGTCTGCCTGAAGAAAAGGCAGCCTGTGGCTAGAAGCTTTCTAAGCAATCACCAGGAGACAAAACCAAAATATTATTTTTTTAATAAAGAAAAATTCCTTATCTTTAAAATATATTTCATTCACACAAGAGAATCATGTATTGCTTCAGCAGCAATATACTAAAATTGGAAAGACAGACAAGAGATTGCCTTAGCCCCTATCCAGGTATGGTACCAAATTTATGAAGCTTTCCATAAACTATAGTGAAGATTCCCTGACATATTTTTTAAAGTGAAAAAAAAAAAGTACAGAACAATGTAATTAGTATGATACCATTACAGTGGTTTAAAAAAAATTTACACTAAACCCCCAACCTCTCCATCATATAAACCTTTATATTACTACATATGTCTACAAATACAGAGAAGAAAGTCTGAAAAAATACTTAACTGATAACAGTGGTTTGTTACAAGAAAAACTTGTGCATGAATGTTCATAGCAACATTATTCATAATAGCCAAAAAGTAGAAACAATCCAAATATCCATCATCTGATAAATGGATAAACAAAATGTGGTATACCCATGTAATAGAATATTATTGAGCCATAAAAAGGAATAAAGTATTGATTCATGCTACAACTTGGATGAACCTTGAAGACATTACGCTAAGTGAAAGCCAGACACAAAAGGCCACAGAACATACAATTCCATTTATATGAAATGTCTGGAACTGACAAACCTATAGAGACAGAAAGCAAATTAGTGGTTGTTAGGGCCTGGGCAGGGGGCGGGGGGAATGGGGAGTAACTGTGTCACGGGCATGGAGTTTCTTTTCGGGGTGATGAAAATGTTCTGGAATTAGATAGTGGTGATGGTTGCACAACTTTGTGAATATACTCAAACTACTAAATTGTAAAGAGAAAAAAAGGACTGCATTAATATATTACTTGAATAATTCTCAAGGGGTGGCGCGAGAGCACGTGAGCTAACTGTGGGGCTGCCACAGCGCTGCGTACCTCTCGTCTCTCGATTTCCTTCCTCCGCTCCTCCTCTCTCTGACGTTCCAGCTCCCGCTGCTTTTCCAGTTGCTTCTCCAGCTCCAGCTGTCTCTTGCGCTCCTGTTCCTGGCGCTCCCGCTCCTTCCTTTCCTGCTCCGCCCGCTCCAGCTGTGCCAAGCGCTCTTGCTCCTTGCGCTGCTGCTCCAAGAGAGCCTGTCTGCGTTTCTCCAGTTCCAGGTTGCCACGTTCAAAATTCTCACGCTTCTTATCTTCAAACGTTACTTTAAAATAAGAAACAGAACAATTATGCAAAGTCATGATTTCCAACATACTATTTTCAAAGGAAAAACTCAATGGCATATTGGAAATTCGTAGTATAAACACAAACCCAGAACTCCCTAAGCTTCCTTTGCCTGTGCCCTTGTTAATAAGCACTATGAAATGCTCTTCATCTAACCTCTTTGCTTACATACTCTCCCCTCCAGGAGGAGCGCCATATCATGGTATTCAAAAAACCAAACACAGTTTCTAGAATAATCTTTCTAGAGCAGTTCTGCATCATCACCAATCTCCTTTCCTTCCCTGATACTCTCTCCTTTCCCTTCTCCATGACCTTGATTCAGCACTTGAGTCCCTATCTCTTCCGTACCATGAATCTCTCTCTCTACCTCTCTCCCTTTAGCTTATAACTGTGCTGATGTGTCTACTATTCCAACAAAAAAGAGAATTTCTTTTTTCGCTGAGGAAGATTAGCCTTGAGCTAACATCTGTTGCCAATCTTTTTCTTTTTTTGCTTGAGGAAGATTAGCCCTGAGCTAACATCTGTGCTGATCTTCCTCTATTTTTTGCACATGGGTCACTGCCACAGCACGGTGACAAGTGGTGTACATCCACGCCTGGGATCCAAACCCACGAACCCAGGTCGCCAAAGTGGAGCACGCAGAACTTAACCACTACACCACGGGGCTGGCCCCGAAAAGATAATTTCTGAAAGCAGAGGTAAGAAGGTGAGTATCCTGTGTTTCACACTGAAGAACAAACTGTGCTCTAATCATTAAGTAGATCACATTCAGCAAATAATTTTTTCTAATCCATTGTTCAGTTTATTTCTTTGAGAACACCAATTATGAATTTTAGACATATTTCCCAGATCAATCATTTTTTCTCTAATCCTTGCTAACATTTTGTTTACAACCATTTTATTTTACTTTTTTTTTTTAATCCTCCATGTCCCTTACTATGTTTTCAGCAGTGTCTATTCAATTTTGCGTTTGCCTCACATGCTTCTCCTTGGAACCAACCCAGTTAAGGGAAGTTCTTACTGCCAGCCTGTGTAGCATGTCATTCCATTGTTCCCAATCTATTTCAAGAACTGTCATTTCACACTTTGTCTTGAGATCTGTAGCTGTGAGCATCCTTTCTTGGCTTCTTCCCACATTCCTGTCTGGCCTTCACTGCTTTAGACAGACTTTCCTCACACACTGTAGTTAGGGATTAAAGATCAAAGGTGGCGAGCATGTTTTGGTTTTCTTCTTCTTCTTGCTCCTTTAGTGATTTCTGAGAGGGCAGCATCCTCTTTTACTTTGCCACCTTAAACCTGAAAGTCCCCTCAGCCACAGAAAGGAATGAAGTAATGATACATGCTACAATGTGGATGAATCTCAAAAATATTATGCTAAGTGAAAGAAGCCAGACAAAAAAGGCCATCCATTGTATAATACCATTTATGTGAAATACACAGAACGGGTAAATCCAAAGAGACAGAAAGCAAACTGGTGGTTGCCTGGTGCTGGGGGGAAAGGAGAATGCAGAATGACTGGATATGGAGTTTTCTTTTGGGATGACGAAAACATTTCAAAACTGGATAGAGGTGATGGTTGCACAACACTGTAAATGTACTAAATGTCACCGTCATGGACTGTGTGTCCCCTCCATCCCCCCGCAAAGTCATATGTTCAGACCCTAACCCCCATTGTGATGGTATTTGGAGATGAGGCTTTTGTAATTAGGGTTAAGATAAGGTCATGAAAGTGGGGCCCTCAAGATGAGATTAGTGGCCTAATAAGAAGAGGAAGAGAGAGAGATCCTTCTCTCTTTCCATGGGCACACATCAAGGCGATGTGAGGACACAGCAAGAAGGCAGCCATCTGCAAGCCAGAAAGAGAGCCCTCACCAAGAACTGAATTGAATGGCACCCTGATCTTAGACTTCCTAGTCTCCAGAACTGTGAGAAACAAATTTCTGTTGTTTAAGTCACTCAGACTACGGTATTTTATTATGGCAGTCCAAGCTGACTAAGACAGCTTTACAATTTAAAAGGATCAATTTTATGTTATGTGAATTTTACCTCAATTAAAAAAAAAAGCAAAAACAAAGTCCCTATATATCTTTTTAATTCCAATATCTGGCCCTATTTCTGCTACACAGGAGGCACATAATAAATGGCTGTTGAAAGAAGGAATAGCATGAACAAGGAACTCTGATAATGTCACTTCCTGTTCAGAATTTTGAATATTTACTACCAACAGAAAAAGAAAATTCCAAATTCTAAGGATTTCTGTCCTTATTTGCCTTTGAGACTTCATTCCCATTATTATCAACCCGAAACGTTCCTCCTTTTCTCTTGTAATGACCCTATTCATTTTCAAGTCTCGACTCAACTGTGACCTCTTCCATAGAGATCTAATTCCTTGTTTCTTCCCCAGTCTATGCCAACCAGCCATAAGTAAGCTCTGCATCTATAACACGGTCTTCAGGAATTTATCACACTTCCGCACTGCTTTGGTGATTGTTTATACGGATGTGTTAAATCCTCAATTATATTATAACCTTCTAGAGGGTATGGACCACTTATTACTAACATTTAGATTCTCCACTGTACTCAACACACAGCCTTGCACAAAGAATATTTTCAATAAGTAGTCTATCAGTGAACAAAAAGCAATTCAGTTTAAAGAGGAAACTGGGAGAGCTGGCGTCCTGAGCAGGTCAATTAACCACTGAGCACTTTAAATGCAGCAAAATGACACTGACAAAGTATTTAACATACAGAGACTCTATGATAAAGTTCACTTGTTCCTTAGTATCAATTATCTTATCATTAATAATTCATAGCCACTTTAGAATATTTTAATAGTATGATGGATTTATCATTGTAAATGAGCATTATTTAAAATAGGTCCATATTAAATTTAAAATAGCTTCCTGTAATTGAGGAGTTTCCAATTCTCTTATAACAACATGAGGAAATAACAGTAGGCAATTTTACATAATATTTCTGCACTAGTGGTATTAAGCAACCACCTTAAAACATTTATCAATTTTGAATATTTTACAGATAACATTTATAAAATTTTTGTTTAGTAGTAAATAATCAGATTTCAATTTAAAAGTTAAAACAAGGGTGCATTATGCATTAGCAAAGTATATAATGTTCTTAATTCTCCACATATATCCAAATCCAAAAGCATATTTTAAGTGTCTCCTTTCTGACTAAGGTCAGTTAAAGGAACACAGCAAACATGTCAAAATTTATTTTTACCTCCATCTTTGCCTTAGAGATAGAAAAATCTCGAATATGATATAACTCAAATATAAAAACTGCCTTACCAGGTAATTTCTTTTCTAGTTGTTGCTGTTCATCTTCTAAAACTGGTTCCTCTGGTAACCTCTGATCTACCGATGTTGAGCTTATCACAGATATACCACTGCCAGATCTAACTCTTCTGCAATTGTGGAAAAAAAGAAAAAAGAAATGAATTCATGTAAAGCTATCTTGGTAGAATTGAGCAAATTATGGAAAAGAATTTTTAAAGATTATTCCATGTCATGGAGCAAATTTCATTTGTAGTGAGAAAAAGATAAAGTTTTGGTCCTCTCTATACACAAAGAGTTTTTAAAAAATGAATATTTGAACATGATCAGACTCTGAGTGCCAAGCTTGTTCAAATGGTTAGAACCCCACCAAAATTAGGGCAATTCCAAAGGACTGAACTAGTGAATAATCCTCAAATGGCTAGAACACTGCCTGGGACACAGTAAGTGTTCTCTGTTATTACAATCACTCTCTTAAGGATCATTAAATTCCTCCAAGGGAAGATCAGCAGCTCAGCTAAATGGGAGCATCCTCCTTTCCCTTTACAAAGTCTCTCCATTTTACCACTTCCTAAAGACACGAAATGTCTACACTTTACAGTCCTTAAAGCAAATCACTTAGTTTACTGATTAGTTTCACTTTAAATCATTAACTTTGCTCTTTTACACCAACCTACCTATCTTTTTTCTATGCTTTATTAGCCTCCAGTGTTAAGTGTCTCTTGTAGTGATTCTTGCAGCTGTGAGGTCTCACAGACAAACTGCCCAGCTCTGGGTTCCCTGCCACACAGTCTCGGCTTTCTCAGCTTGCTCCTGTCCCGCGCCTGCACTGACAGTGACGGCTCCATTTCTCTTACTTTTATGGGGATTTTTCCCCTACTCTTTCCTAACGTCTGAGGAACTAGGACAGAAATTTTTACCTGTGTTTCTTTTGCTCTTCTTTGCGCTTGTAATATCTCCTATTTGTCTTTCAAGCTAAAGCCTTGAGACACAGCTGTCTGGGAGGAGGTGTGTGCATGAGTGTGTATACGTGGGAGACACCAATCACTGCATACTTCTCCCAGCTGGACCTTGGTCTACCCTCTCGACATCTCCACTGAGACTGTGTTCCAGTCTAGAATAATTTTCTTTACTTATCTTCCTGATTATAATTTTGACATTTCAGCATTTTGTTACCTCTCCAATGTACAGAATTCACAGGCAGAATCTCCTTGCTTTATTTTCTATGTCTGTGTTCATACTGTTTAACTGTTAAAATTTTTGGTGAGCTTCAACTATATAGATTGGTACAAAAATCACCAACCTTTTGATGTTTTACTTGATTGTTTTACTAACATACTATAAGCACTTTAAAGAACAGAATAGGCCCAAGATTAACACAGAACCTAGATAAGAGGATTTTCTTGAATTCATAGATATTTCATTTACTTGCCAGGAATAAAAGTGACTGTAAGATACATAGCTAACAAAGTCAAGTTTGAAATTTACATACTTAGCACATGATTTCTTATAAGAGCCAAATGTTCCTTACCTAAAGGAAGGTGGAATGTATTCTGGAGGCAGGACGGGTGGCAGTGGTTGGCCAGACATAGCTACATCAATTAGGTGCATAGCCAGGATAAATTCTTCCGCTGTGAGTTTTCCATCTTGATCAATGTCAGAAAGATTCCTATTCAACAAAAAGTTAATTGCAATCTAGTTTTATGAAAATGCTTGCTTGTTACTATTAGCGATTTAAATGTTCTGTTTTCTTATTCAGACTCTAGGCCAAGTGACACTCTCTGTGCCTCAGTTTATAAAAATAGTACCTATTTCATACTACTGTTGCAAAGATAAAAAAATCCATATAGTTGCGATGGTGGTCAGCATTCAACAAATGTTAACTATGATTATAATTATACTCTTCTCAAATCTTGCAAGCACATTTAAAATGTATCATATACACATTCTATGTGTCTTTTTTTTTTTTTTTTTGAGGAAGGTCAGCCCTGAGCTAATATCCATGCCAATCCTCCTCTTTTTGCTGAGGAAGACTGGTCCTGAGCTAACATCCGTGCCAATCTTCCTCCACTTTATGTGGGACGCCGTCACAGCATGGCCTGACAAGTGGTGGGTCGGTGTGCGCCTGGGATCCGAACCCGGGCCGCCAGCAGCGGAGCGCACGCACTTAACCGCTACGCCAAGGGGCCAGCCCCCTATGTGTCTTTAAAGACTATGCTTGGCAAATTATCAGGTCAGACAATAAATATGTAAGCTTTGCAGGACACACAGTCTTTATCACACTGAATTCTGCCATTGCAGCAGAAAAGCAGCCATAGACAAGATATAAATGAATGGGTGTGGTTGTTTTTACAATAAAACTTCATTTGCAAAAACAGGTGCAGGCCAGATTCCGCTCACTGGGCTTAGTCGGCCAACTCCTGACCTAGGCCTACAAGGGTGGATCTTTACGGCCTGGAGCCACCGAGTCAAGGTGTTCTCTGCTCAGTCAAGGTGTTCTCTGCTCCGTAATCTCAGGTTTCAATTGCCACCATTCTTCATAATCAACTTGCCCTAGCAGCTATTTAGAGTAAACAGATTTTTCTAGCAAGTCCAACAATGTGATTTTGCTTAACAACTTCTGGATGCCAAAAGAAGATGAAGGACAACAAAGCTGTTCACTAGAATGCCAACAAGACAGATGCTACATTGGGAAACTGGCTTTGCTGATGCCATAAATCAAGAAACTCCTCTTAAATCTGAAATTTCCTCAAGTGGCACAAACTCTTTTTTTTTAAAGGTATACTTTCCATACAGTAACATTCACCCTTTTTAGAGAACAGTTCTGCAAGTTCTGACAAACATATGCAGTTGTGTAACCACCACAATACACAGAACAGTTTCATCACCACCCAAAATTCCCTATGTCTCTTTATAGTCAACCCCTTCCTTTGCCCCCAGCCCCTGGCAACCAATGATCTCTTTTCTGTCCCTGGAGCTTGGCCTTTTCCAGATGCCAGCCTCTCAGTCTTAAAGAGAAGAGAGCCACAAACGAAAACCCCTGCCTGCCACTCCTTCTCCTCTCTTCCCTTCCACACCCCGACATTAGCCGCTCCTGGGTAAATCCGATTAGAAGGCAGGTGAAATTCTTATTTGTTTTGTCCCCCATACTTGCCTCTTGACTTGCCTATTTACAATGGTTGAAAATATTTAATTAAAATATCTTTTTATTGTGTAGAAGGAGAATATAATAACCTTCTAGTAGGAGAAGTCTCAAGTATTTTTTTCAGAGGGCAGGTTATAAATGAGAAACTTAAAATAAACATTTCAATATAGTCTAGTGTCATGAAAACAACCTAATAAACTGCCAATCAACCTCCATAAATATTAGATCTTAAGTTTATATTTCAGAGGGCCCTAGAATACTGGTACATATCCAGACTTAAAGAGGTCTGGATGTGTCACAGACATAAGATGTTTATTACCTGGTCTATTATTACGCCATTACAAAAGGCAGACCCTTTAATACAAAGCAGACTAGAACAGGATGGGTGAAGGGAGCAGCATAGAGCTTGACCACCTAGGAAGCAACCACATCAGTGTGCCCTGAAGCAAAGTCACGAACCTAGCATGTAAGCAGCACAGACCAGGTTTATTTTCCAGACAGAATCAATGAATAATGCATAACTGAGAGATACACACTTCTTAAGAAACCATTCTGGCTAACATTTAGATGTAAGAAATCCTGTAGGATCTAGGCAATGCTCATCAATAGCTACTGAAAACCATTACAAAATAGATGAAAAGACATGTATGTGCCTCCTGATGAAAGTACACAGTATCATCTCTGCTATAGTCCTGCAAAAAAACAAACCAACCAGGGGCTGGCCCGGTGGCGTAGTGGTTAAGTTTGCGTGCTCTGCTTTGGCAGCCTGGGGTTCACAGGTTCGGATCCCAGGCGTGGTCCTACACTACTCATCAAGCCATGCTGTGGCAAGCGTCCTATATATAAAATAGAGGAAGATGGGCACAGATATTACCTCAGGGCCACTTTCCCTCACCAAAAAAACAAACAAACAAACAAAAACCCAACCAAACGTGAATCTGAGGAGTGGTTGTCAACCAGGGATGATTGTTTTGTACCCCAAGGGACATTTGTCAATGTCTGGAGACATTTCTGATTGTCACAACTGGGGGTGGGCATCATGCTACCAGAATCTAGTAGGTAGAGGCCAGAGATGCTACTAAACAACTTTCAATGCGCAGGAGAGACCCTACAACAAAGAATTATCAGGTCTAAAATGTCAACGGTGCTGAGGTGGAGAAACCCTGCTCTAGATCTAATTACCAATCTACAGGAAATACAGGAATAAATGAACACCACAGGATGCAATCATCAAAAGTTAGACTATAAGAAACTACAGGACAAATGATCTGGGTTTTTTTTTTTTTTTTTGCAGGGGGGAGTAGAGAACAAGACAATGCAGAGTTCATAGGTTAAAGGACATTTAAAAGACGTATCAACCAATTGTTGCAAAATGTCGATTTATTTCAGTCCTGATTTGAACAAATCAACTATAAAAAATTATGAGGCAACACTATCTGATTAACTTAACGATAAAAATTACTATTAACATTTTTAGGTGGACTACTGGTATTATAGTCATGTTGAAAAACAAACTCCCTATCTCTTTTGGAGAAACAAGCTGAAATATTTGTAGATGAAAATGATATAATGACTGACATTTGGCTTAAAAGGGAAAAAGTTAGACAGGTAATCATCACAACTCACTGAAAAATATCCTCCTATCCAAATATCCTCCTATAAATGACGGTATTAACCTAAGGACTCATGAGGCCATACCAATTTAAGAAATAAAGTTCCCCTATACAAACCAAGGAACTTTTCATTCTTTACTTACCATATTGAAGCCAGCTGAGCCTGTGGTAAACTTGATTGCATAAGGATAGTTCTTGCTTGGGGACCTAAACAGAAACCAGGGAACAAATACAAAGATGAATCAGCAAATCCTCACTGTCCAGGAAGACCAGTGATCCCCACACACGTACTGTGCAATCTCGGGCCATCACAGCACTTTAAACGATATTTGCTAGTACCCAAGAGGCTTTTTAAAAAGGAAACTAAGTCCCAGGGAAAAAGGTAAGTATCACAAAGCTCTACATACTCAATAAATTTTTGTTAAATGTATGTTTAATGAAAAATGAGTACATAAAAGTCTGGAGTTTCAAAATATAACCTGCCTTTTTGTCCGGATTACCATCTCTATTTGTATCAGGCTTTTATTTACAGAGCTGAAACTTATTCTTTCGAAATTCAACATCTTCTGCCTGCTGCCTCCACCATGACCACTATTAGACAAATTCAGAGAAGATTCAGAGAATCTTAGAGGAGGGAGGTACCTCAGAGAGAATTCTTCTAACCATTTCATGATACAGACTTAAAAAAAAAAGTGATTTGCTCAAGGTTGCACAAATGACTAATATCATAACCATTTCTTATGTTAGCAATAAAGAACTCCGAGAATCTCAACTCTCCTCTCAAAATCAGCTCTTGCTCCTTAAGATATTTGTAAACATCTTCATTTCTGGCATGAAACTAGCCTTAGATATCAGCCAAAGGCTACAATGGGAGCTTTTGAGTGTTTCAATAAACCACTGTTTGGGAAAGGGAGACAAATATGTCTTATAGCCATCACTGACTCTCAAGGCACCTCATCAAAAATCACAAAAGTGGTCGGGGCTGGCCCGGCAGCACAGTGGTTAAGTACGTGCACTCTGCTTCAGCAGCCCAGGGTTCGTGGGCTCAGATCCCGGGCACAGACCTACACACGGCTCATCAAGCCACGCTGTGGCGGCATCCCACATACAACATAGAGGAAGACTGGCACAGAGGTTAGCTCAGCAATAATCTTCCTCACCACCCCCCCCCAAAAAAAGTCATAAAAGTGGCTGTGTTTTTGCACAGCAAGCAGTAGCAGTGAGGAATCTCTGAGAACCACAGCAAGGTTCCAGCACAGGAGGTGCCAGAGAACGGCAGAAACAGCACTTAGGCGGGGGCGCCAGGCCTGCTTCAGTCTAGAATTTGCTGAGTGACTCGGGCAGGCAGGTTCCTCCTGTTGGACTCTAGTTTTCTCATTTCAGAGGTCCTTTCCAGATTTACAAGTTGATGATTCATTGTATAAGAATCTGTAACGTGGAGCTTAGCATGGAGCTAGCACAGAAAAAGTGCTCAATAAATGGGAGTTAATATTACTGACAATATTTTAACTTTCATTTATATATGAAATATGGACAGAAAAGCACACATGAATATATACATGTGTATTTTTACACATGCACATGTATACAACTTAATTAATTTGCCAAATTGAAAATGGTTAAGTAAACAGTATCCGGATCACGAAACAGCACCCCAGAAGCCCTCTAGAGCTCCCTTCTCATCATCCCCTCCCGCCAAGTGTAGCCTACTTCTAACAGCACAGTGTGCCTTCTGTTAAGTCTGGCTTATTTTGCTCAACATATTATCATGTGTAGTTGTAGAACATTAATCCTAACTACTGTATAGTATATCATTGTGTGAATATGTCACAATTTATTTATCCATTCCACTGTTGATGGGCAGTCAAGTAGTTTTCAGTTTGAGACTGTTATGAACAGTGAAGATTCTAAGTTTTGGTGAACTTGTATACACATTTCTGTTGGATGAGTGTGTGTGTGTATGGGGAGCATCTAGAATAATAAGCAATCTTTACTGAATTAATGTGAAAGTTCTAAAGGTTCTGTGGTATCCTGGAATGAGGAAAGTTCACCGATCATTTTATTTAGTCTCTAACATTGTATTTAAAATGTTGGCAACATTAAAGTAGAACTAGCAAAACGCTAGTGAATGCTTTAATTTACACCTGTAACAATTCTGTGCACTTCAGAACTATATAAAAGAAAGTCACTATTTCATCTATTCCCAATAAAAAGTGTAACAATAAACAAAAAGAACCAGCCCTAGACCTGGATATCAGTGACATGGATTCCAATCCTGACTCTTCCCACTCCCTAATGACATATGACACTAACAAAACTACTTTCATTCTCTAAGAGGAAGTTCCTTCATCTCTGAAATGAGGGAAACGATCTAGAACAGGGATTGGCAAATCCTGCAGGCCATATCCAGCACACTGCCTGTTTTTGTAATAAAGTTTTATTGCAACATAGCCATGTCCATTCATTTAAGCATGATAGATGGCTGCTTTCATACTACAACGGCAAAGTTGAGTAGTTGCAACAAACAGTGCGTGGCCACAAGCCTAAAATATTTACTATTTTGGTCTTTATAGAAAAAGTTTGTTAACCCCCGTGCACTGGAAGATCACACTATCTTTTGCAATTCTAATACCTGACTCTACATGTCCTAAGACAAGATAGTGAAACATTAAATTAGATCAGGAACAGTGAAGATAGCATCTTAGCATAACAAGACAGCATGAAATTGAGCTCATCCTGTGGAAGCCTATGTTCATAAAAGGATATCAGCCTTGGAGTACTGGCTTATAAGGAAACATTATGGAGATAAACAGAAACCTCAAGTTCACAAACCCTACTTTGGGCATCCATGTTTGGGTAAGGAAGCACGAATGAACAGAGATAATTACATTAAGTTACCATTTTACTTCAAACAATGACTTTAGCTTTTGTGATTAATATACAAATAATCAAATAGCATATTCATTGTTTCAGAACGCAAGAATATAATAAAATATCTCTTTGAGAAAAGAGCTAGCATTAATAGGATTATCAGAATTCTAGAGCTACTTACATAACCTTGATTAAAGAATGGGCCCTCTTAATTTATAAGACTGTCTCTTTTAAGTGCACCCAATAGCATACAAACCAAGTTATGAAGGAACAAAGGGGTGCCCACCCAACCAAGTGTATCAGCTAAATCAACCCAGGTAGTCAATGGGAGTAAACTGTGCCACTGCTAAATTAGCTGCACTTTCCACAGTGGATAAGCTCACATCACAAACTCAGAAGTTCTCACTGTCTTCTGCTTTGGGACCAATCGATGGCATTCTTATGCCCACAACATACTCTTAAAGATGGAGCCAGAATTTGATGTTATTCAAAAGAAGTATGTGAAAGTAAAAGACAATCTGATCAGGAATCCCTCGAACACCAACAGTACATTATTAACACCGGGCATCTGCCACAGGCTGCAGCACAGATCAGCTAGGTTGCAGGTTATATGCAATTCTTGGAGTGCTACCTATAATTCCCCCCCCACTCCAAAACACACGTATAAGGACAACCTAGATTCTCCACTAATTGATATTAAAACATAAATTTTCCACAACTCCTATACTTTAACTGGTATTCCTAGCACTAGGATGTCACAACTCCAAGGTTGAGAACTACTGCACTAGACTAAGAAATTGTAATTATATGCAAGTTTTTAAGATGCTTTTTAGTTCCTTTAAAACAAGAACCCACAAAAAACAAAACCATGAAGGACGAAAAACAAGAAATTAGGAATACTAAATTATATATTTCATTTGGGCCTCTTTATATTCGGGGACTTTTAATTAACTTTCTTGATATTCCTCTTATCCTTAAGCTGAATGAGTAACTGCTTTGGGGGTTCGGGATTCATACAATGATCTTTGTATTTCATCCATCTCAGCAAACCTGCTCTGCTTTCATTAACAGTCTTATTTAGGCTAAAATACACCGTATATTGACTCCTCATAAAGGCAAAACTACATTTGTTTTATTTATTCCTGCAAATTTTCTGTAAGAAATTATTCTATTTAACATCGACTGTACAAAGATCTGGTTTGAAAATCAAATTCTCACCTTCAATTCTTTCCAGGACAAAAGAGTAATAAGTAATATACCGATAAACATTAGCAAAATCTGCTCTTTCCAGTATATTTCAAATTTTACTGTCTTTCTCAGATATTAAAAGTTCTAAATATTCGAGTGCCTGAGTCATTATCTTTGGGATGTAGATACTGAACTTCAGTCATAAAACACACATCCTACCAAGAAAGAGAGAACTTCTATATGATTGTTATATCTGAATACTATTGTAATTAACTCACAGCAAACACCAACAACGTTTTGAAGAAACGTTTTCAGATTCACTGACAATGTAGTCCTGGGTCTGTATGGAGCCCTGGTGTCAAACCACGTTACACAGTACAGTCATACATCGCTTAACGACAGGGATACGATCTGAGAAATTCGCCATTAGGCAATTGTGTCGTTGTGCAAACATCATAGAGTGTGCTTACACAAACCTAGATGGGATAGCCTACTACACACCTAGGCTACACAGGACTAATCTTATGGGACCACTGTCGCATATACCGTTCATCGTTGACCAAAACATCGTTATGCAGCACAGGACTGTACTTAAAACTATATATTGAATGTTACTTCAGTGCCCGCATAAGCTGGACTGGTTTTTGATGCTACGTATAAAAATGACAGCTACTGCTTTAGCAAAGAGTGAGCCTGGCATACAGAGAATTTGCGTATCTTATAATTCCCCCCTTCAGATACAAATACACGCTTATTTGAGATGACTGCTGAGATCCTTTACAGGGACGGGGTTCAAGATTAGATCAGAATCTTTCAAAGTCTCACCCAATCCTGACATTTTTAAACAAGGATGCATTTTTTTGGAAGTAAAAATTGCAACTGTAAGTGATAGCAAAAAAATAATAGTAAGAATCAGAAATTAAAAGTGTTTTGTGTTATATACCAGTGCTTCTCCACCCTGGGAAAATGAACCCATTCTCCCTTCCTTTCAGATTTGCTAAAGGTCGCTACATTTTTCCCTTTTACACTTAATGTTCATATCAGGTCTCTATCTTCCTTTATTAACATTATGCTTTTCTTTGTAACTTTCTAATCAATTTGAAGTGTTTAACCCCTCATTAGAAAGGTTTCTGAATAGCATCCAAAAATCATTTGTACCCTTCTAACATAGATAACAGAATCTTTTTTTAATCCATTGAGATCATAAAATTTAACTCTGGCCTTTTATATATGAAGAAATAAGATCCAAATAGGTAAAGTGACCACCAGGTAGTTAGTAGCAGAGCCAGGTTTCAAACTCCCCGACCAGTCCCCTGTCACCCTGCACACTGCCTTACACACTGACTCTCTGAGTAGGCAGTTTCAAGTTCATCTACAAAGCTGGACTTCAGAACTTGAACCAGTTTTTGTTCACAGCAGTGCTCCTTCACTAGTGCTTTGATTTGCACACTAGTGGCATTCTGTGTGCAGGAGGATCCTTGGTCTGTGTTCCATTTACCAAGAAGCAAAGGGGCAAAAGCCTGAGGCACAAGAGAATAACATAACTATAACATTATCAGTAAATGAGAACTCAAGGTAAGAGGGACAATGAAAACCTTGTTTAGAAAAAAACAGAGAAAGACATTTGGAAAATATCATCAGTCCAACATCTAGAAACAATTTGCATTTAGAACAAAGATCATATTTCACTAAATTAATTCTTATTTGTAAGTACCTGTTAAGTGTCCACTCATAGTTTTATCATGACTATTGAATAATTGTCTGTATTTCAGTCTGGATGACTGAGGAACAGCCCATTCTGCCACTGGAGGAACACTGAGGGGGAAAAGAGGAAAGAGAAGAAAAAATGATTAACAGTAAGAAATAGCCTATCTAAGTTCTTTAACAGTAAACTAAGAACTTCTCTAGAAAATTAGCTTTAACATTTTATTCACTTTTTTTTAAAATTTTTATTTATTTATTTTTTTCCCCCAAAGCCCCAGTAGGTAGTTTATGTCATAGTTGCACAGCCTTCTAGTTGCTGTATGTGGGACGCGGCCTCAGCATGGCCAGAGAAGCGGTGCGTCAGTGCGCGCCTGGGATCCGAACCTGGGCCGCCAGTAGCAGAGCACACGCACTTAACCGCTAAGCCACGGGGCCGGCCCTTTTTTATTCACTTTCTAATCAGTATTTCTGAATCATCTGTAATGAGTAACTTCTATTCTTTAAGGTTATAAACATTTCTCTCAAAACAGATAAGCTCACTATTTTTCTAGAATTAAGGGTAAACACAACAGATTAAGTGGCTGCTTCAAGTTATAGATACAATTTAATAATTTAAAGCTTGTACAAAACTATGGACAATCTCCTTGGAACTGAAGCGATACAATAATGTTCAGGCTTTTGTAAACTTCTAGAACAGTTCTCTTTGGGTTTAAAAAGTAACGCTGACAGCAAACAAATAATTGCCTAACTTACTACACACCAAAATACAGCATGTATTTCCTAATGAAGGGAAATTCTTTCATTCTGGTAAGTTCAAATTCCCACAAACAGAGAGTTTCCCAAAGAGAACAGAGCATTTCCAGGGTCATGGCAAACCAGCGCAGCGGTAACGGAGAGAGCTCCGCTTTCTTGACTGCGATCTAGTTCCGACCTTTCCTTGCCAGTGCTCAGCAACTCTGACCTGAGGAAACCCCTGTTGGTAGTCGTTTGGGTCTCAACCTCCTTAGCGATGAGTTCCTCAGAGCAGTTCCCACACGGGTAGCACACTGGTACCTATGGCTTGTTAAGAGCCCAACGTCAAGGGGCCGGCCCTGTGGCTTAGCGGTTAAGTGCACGCGCTCCTCTACTGGCGGCCAGGGTTCGGATCCTGGGCGCGCACCAATGCACCGCTTCTCCGGCCATGCTGAGGCGGCATCCCACATACAGCAAGTAGAAGGATGTGCAACTATGACATACAACTATCTACCAGGGCTTTGGGGAGAAAAAGGGAAAAAAAAGAGGAGGATTGGCAATAGATGTTAGCTCAGGGCCAGTCTTTCTCAGCAAAAGGACGATTAGCATGGATGTTAGCTCAGGGCTAATCTTCCTCACCAAAAAAAAAAAAAAAAAAAAGAGCCCAATGTCAGAATCAGGCAATTTAAACTCAGTGGCTGAGCTGACTGTGAAAATGGCATTCCACTTACAGGAAAGATTATAACTAATGCCCATTTGCAATTTCCTTTCATTTCAACAAAAATATCCATTTCTCACGTGTAAAAGCAAAACTTGAATCATAAATTGAACCTCTTAGTTCTCATTTATGTATATTATCTATGCACTTATACCTACTATATACACTTCTTAAAGCACAGATACGGCTCCCAAACACTTGAAAAGTACCTATATAAATTCACCTTCCCAATTTTTATAAATTTCTTAATAAAAAACACTTACCAAGATCTAGTCCACTCTGAGTACTGCTGCAACAACTCTCTCATTTTAAACTAACTAACATTTTGCTGATTCCAACTCTGGCCTATTTGTTAAGAAGCTAATTATCTTTCTCCTGCACTCTAGGAATGTAGGGTGTTACACACAGAAGGTGTCCCAGATTATACTTATCAAGTCATAGTCTTCTGCCAAATTCCTGAGAATTTAAATAGACTAAAAACTTTTTAACAGGTAACCAAAAAGTTAGATGTCATACTACAAAAATAGGCTAGAAATTTAGATTATTGAAAAGATGACTACCTACAGAAAGCAGTTGTTTTAATCGCATTAATGTTCGCTAATACTGATTGTTTATTCATTCTAATAGCAAAAATCAATTTTAAGAGAGATTTCAAAATCCCTTGTGGGGAGTCAGAGAAAACACAAAACTTCAGCATAGTACAGGAGAGCGAATAAAGAACATGGAATTTGGGCCGGGCCCGTGGCTTAGCAGTTAAGTGTGCGCGCTCTGCTGCTGGCAGCCCGGGTTTGGATCCCGGGCACGCACCAACGCACCGCTTGTCCGGCCATGCTGAGGCCGCGTCCCACATACAGCAAGTAGAAGGATGTGCAGCTATGACATACAACTATCTACTGGGGCTTTGGGGGGAAAATAAATAAATAAATAAATAAATAAAAATAAATAAATAAATTAACTCTATAAAAAAAAAAAAACATGGAATTTAGTGTTAGATGATCTGAGTTTAAATCTGACTCCGCTGCCCTGTAGTAAACTGTAAACCATGGGTGAGGAATATCGTCTCTCTGGATCTGTTTCCTCGTGCACAATTCTGAGACAAAACCTACTGCACAGGTGGCTGTGGGGTTGAATGGGATTAACGAGATATATGGCACAGCAGATGCTCAATTAATGTTCCTGCATCTTAGGAGCAGAGCTTAATTAAGGGGAACACAAATACCCGTATACCACAGTTCACTGAATTTTTTAGAGCAAACTTTCATGATTTAGAACCCATGCCTTAAAATCAAAAAGAACTCAGTTCAACTCTTAGCTCTATCACTTATGAGCTATGTTATCTTGTGCAAGTCACAAAGTCGCTGAGCTTCTTCCTCATCTATAACATAGAGAAGATACTACAGTCATCCTATGGGGAAGAAGGTGAGCACTCAGAATTAACATGCATAAAGCATATGGCACAGTGCTTTTCAGTTTATGGAGTTTCTTTAAATCATTTTTTAAAAGGTAATGAATTACTGAATTATATTCAACACGCTTTTCTCTTTAAAGTGGAAAAATGATTTGATTCACTTAGGAAAGATTTCTAATGAGGACTGAAACAAGAAAAAAGGGAGTTGTCTTCATTTACATCCCCTTTTCATTCTAAAAGTTTTGAGATGGCTTACAAAGAGACTTAATTTTTCATCTTAGTGCAGCAGTAGGCAAGGGAAAAAATTAGGGTAAAAAAAAATACATACATATATACATGAAAGATAATATGAAACCAGGAGTGGCCAAAATACAAGCAGTAAGGTCATGTAAGCTTTGCCAAAATTGAGCCACATATTTGATTAGTAACAACTGTCCACTAATCTGAATAACTCACTTCATAAAAATTGATCTTACATAAGGTTTTACTAATAATCTGTACAGACTTCATAAGATTATCTGAGATAGAACTTAAAGCCAATTGTGGCTCTAATCTTCATATAAAAAATTTTATACATAAACTTTTAAATGATTAACACGAAACAGTTAATTTGTTTTTTTCTCTCATACCTAGTTTTATTTTATTAGTTTTAAACATTTACTACTACCTATTTATTATCCTCTTAAAAAAACAACATGCAAAGCCTTTAAAGGAAACATCATGCCCTTGATTCTGTCATTTCTGCAACAAATGATAAAATCTAGTAACATTATCCAGAATTAAGAAAATTACAGGCATTCTACAAAATAAAAGAAGATAATAAATACAGAACATAGCTAATTCATTTTCAAATTTATGAATTAATCAGATAATGGCTTTAACAAAACTGCCTATTTAAAAACAAGCAAACTTACCTAGCCACGTCAAATGATTGTGCCTTCTGTAACTTAGTGTTTAATTGTGACCCTGGACCAGATCTACTAAAGGAAGAACTCTTTGGCAATGTGGCTGCTGTAAAAATAAATAAATGTTGAATAATTTTAATTCTACAAAACTAAGAAACTTTTCCCTCTTTACAAAAATTAAAATGCACAGTCATCAAATCTGAGGCAGAAATTATTGCTCCCTTCTCACCCTTTTGGACTCAAAAGGCATGATTCCCTCCTTGCCTCCTGCCCTCTTGCCAAAAACGTTTCTAGATTTACTTGTTCCTACTGAAAATCACCTTACTAAGTAGTAATGTTTACATCTATAAAATTCTACTCTTTATTAAATATTTAGTATCACATTTTACAGGATCTGTTCCAACAGTTAAAGAAGTAACAGCTTAAATACATAGATGGTATAATCTTAACTGCACTGAAGGAGCTGAAGTATTAGTTCCAGATGTAAGAGCCAAGAAGTCACAGACGTGCAGTCTTGGCCAGATAACATGTGATGCTAGGGAGGGTCAGCTCTCGTGTCTGCTTCTCATTCAGGCTGGTTAGCTGTGTGTCAGGAGAAAAACTCTGAGCCTTAGCCACATTCCCCTCATCCTTGCCTCCTGTCTTGCAACACATGCCATTAGGCACAAAAGAAAACAAGACAGAGTGCATGGATTCACTGATACTACCGGAAAAACAATTGCAAGCACTTTCTCGGCTGCCACCACATCTGCAGCCATGGTCACGCGTGAAAGATGAACCACACGTGACAAGAAAGTCTTCTAAAAAAGAGGTATGTTTAGATTCTTTGGCTATAATTTAGAGACATATCCTGACAGATGTAATAAATCCAGGGGACTAGGCACAGAAATAATGATTCAGATATAATGCTAAAACCCATGCTGTCATCACTACTGAATTTAATCAGGCAGATCCAAAGTACCTTTTTAAAAAAACACTTTCCATATTGAGATGAATTCATTGAGATTTGTTAGACTACGTCTATCTATATCTACAATTTATGCTTTCTTTTAACTAAAGGGAAAAAGACTTGGAATAAAGTCTCAAAAGGAAATTAACAAAACCAGGAACTTTTTAATCTTTTCATTCAATTAAGCAAGCATGTAATACTACAACCTTAATATATTTAGTCATTTAACAGACTTTCTTCCCCCTTCTGTCTGATTCACTCCACCTCCTCCTCCTCAAAAAAAAGCAATGTTCTTGTTTTTCTCCTACATAATTCTACTCTGAAAGGACTGGCTTGTTTATTAGCAATTCACGGCAGCTGAAGAAAAGTAGTAACTGATACATGCAAATACAACATGTTCAAATGCTGTTCAAACTTCAGTTGCTCTTGTGAAGCCCTTGAAAGGAAATTATGTTCTTGGTCTTAGCTATTGGGTTCACCTTTGTCCACAGCGGCACCCAGAGCCCCTTAATTCCATTCTCCTTTCCCTCTCTCTAGCCTAACACATCCCATTTAATGTGTTGAAAAAAATGAGAAATTAAACGAAAAAAATGAAGATATTTTCCTCTGGAATAAGATATCATTTAAATACAATCAGAAGGAGAAGATTTAACAAGAATGAGGAGTAAAATAGAAGGAGAAGATTTAACAAGAATGAGGAGTAAAATAGAAGTTGTAAGAATTTAGCCTGTGGTTTCAGCAGGTCACATACTAGGACGACCAAATGCAGGCAGAGGTTGTATAACAGGGGGAGCCCCGTTAGCCAGGGGAGGCACTGCTGCTGTAGGGACAGAAGATACGAGGGTTGGAGACATTCCGACGACTGGAATGGATCCCATTGGCACTGGAGCAACAGCTGTGAGTGGTGGCATGCTGGCGATACCTCCTATACCTGTGAAGGAAAAAGTCCCAACAAATTCACATTAAATCACATTTCAACATTCAGTGATAACTAATCCAGGATTGCCTAAAGAAAATCACATTCCAGTTGTAATATATTCCCATTTAAAATACGAATTCAGATTAATCATTTTGAAGAGGACCAAAAATTACGTCAAGGATCACATCAAAAGGGCTCAAGACCCAACTTGAAGAGAGATCTACTGGCCAAAGATGAGGATCAATAAGAATAATAACTGCAGTGGACTGAAAGCCACCAAATAGAATTAAATTCACAAATTCATAATGATATTTAAAAACAAATAAACAAAAAAATTGGTAATTGGTCACCAGAGGTAATCAATTCATTATTTCGAAAATAGTAAATAAAGGGGGAAAATAAATCAAACATTCATCCTGCCTTTCCTTTACATACTGAACCTCAGAGTAACCAAACATTTGATGGGGAAGTTTCTCCTTAGAGAAATATTCTAACCAATAAACGAAGAAATGAGAGAACTAAAATAAATATTTCCTTTCTTTTTTGTTTCTCTAACCCAGCTTGTGATATGTATCACAATAATTATCACAATATATCACAATAATTATCAGAATATATCACAATGTGACATCTGGTCTTCATCATCCTGGTTCCTGGTTCCCGGCACAGAGCTCCTAAAACCCTTGTAATTTCCTGAGTGATAGGAACATCTTTTGTTATAATATTTGGTCTTGGTCCCTGGTTCTTCATATAAGAGCTTCTAAGACCCTTGGAATCTCTGGAGTGTAAAAGAGTGTCTTTTTGTATGCTAATGAGGTGACTGGGGGCTGGGTGTCCCTACATAGCTGAAGGATGGAGGCTGGTCACAGGAACGACTACCAAGATGACCAGTGCATGATTAGAAGGTTGGAACTTTCAGCCCCCACCCCCACCCCCACCTCCACACCAACCTCATGGGAGGACAGAGGGGCTGGAGACTGAGGTAATCACCAATGGCCAATGCTTTAATCAACCATACCTACATAATGGAACCTCCATAAAAACGCCTATACTCCCGGGTTTGGAGAGCTTCCAGGCTGGTGAACACATCCACGGGCTGGGAGCGTGGCACACCCCAACTCCACGGGGAGAGAAGTTCCTGCACTCAGGACCCTTCCAGATCTTGCCCTATATACCTCATCTGCCTGTTCATCTGCATCTTTTACAATACCTTTCATAACAAACTGATAAACATTAAGTAAATGTTTCCCTGACTTTTGAGCTCTTCTAGCAAATTATGGGGGCATGGAAACCCCCCACTTCGTAGTCAAGTTGGACAGAAGCGTGGGTACCCTGGGGACCCATTACTTGTGACTGGAGTCTGAAGTGTGGGCAGTCTTGTGGGACTGAGCCCTTAAACCAGTGGAATCTAACACTAACTCTGGTAGTTGGCGTCAGAATTGAATTTAATTATAAGATACTAAGTTGGTCTCCGGAGAGTTGGAAAATTGGTTGGTGTGGTTTTTCTGGACACAAAATTCCTGGCTCATTCTTCCCTTAAGAATCCTAAATACGTTACTCCATTTTCTTCCAGCATAAAGCTCTGCTGCAGAAAAGTCTGAAGATACTCTAATTTTCTTTCCCTTGTAAGTCATGTGCTCTTTTTCTACATGCCCAAATTTGTTTTACTAGAATGTATCTTAGTAATGGACTCTCCAGGTTGATATTTTCAGGCATATGATTTACTCTTCCAAATACAGTTTCAAATCTTTTATTTCAAGAAAGTTGCCTTGAACTAGTTTTCAGCTGTGTTCTATTCCCCGGCTTTGGTTTCCTTTTGCAGGACTCCAACTAACCAGAGACGCAATTTTCTTTGCCTTCAACACGTGTCACTTTTTTTCAAATCCTTTTTCTCTCCTTTTAATTTTTGAAATTTTTCTCTTTTTACCTTCTATTTCTCTTCAGACAGCATCTCTTGTGTGGTTTCTAGTTTAGTCTTCATTTCTGAAATGACTTTTTCTCTGAAATGACTTTTTCTTTTATTGCTCATTCTTTCCTGAGTTCTGTCACCTTATTTCTGAGGTTTTAAAACTCTGATTTCTGCTGGTCTCTCCTGACTTGTATCATTTTCTTAGTATCCTTTTACTTATTTTGAATCTAGCAGGTTACTGGAACGCTGTCATTGTCCATGGGGGTGTTATTCAGCTCTTCATTCTCTCTTTTCTAATAATAACTGTGTGTGGGATTTGACCTTGCCTGATACCGCCTGTTGCACATTTTTATGTGAGCCCTGCTTCCTGGGATTTCGTCTCCGTTCTCCGCCCCCACTTTGCTCTGGACTTTCTCTTTCTTTTGTCTCCGTGTCACTGCCCTGCTCAATTTTGATTCCACGCCCAGTCACTTCTCCTCAGTGTGGATCCTGTCCCAGAAGGAAGCCTTGCTGGGTCAGTTCTGAGAGTTCATATGGACTAGACTGCTCCAGATCTTTCAGGCCTTCCTATCCCAGGCACAATCACTGTAATTATTCTCTAACATCATAACTTTTCCATTTCAAGTGACCTACTCAGCTTTTAAATAGCTACTGCAAAGACTGTCATCTTTTTACCAATTGCCTACCTTTGCCGAATGAATGAGTATTTTCTGAATATTTCTAAATAAATACAGCTACTGGAGGCTGTGTTTTGGATGCCACCCCTCTTGACTATGCTGAGCATTTTTGTTTTTGTTTTTGCTGAGGAAGATTCGCCCTGAGCTAACATCTGTTGCCAATCTTCCTCTTTTTTTGCTTGAGGAAGATTAGCCCTGAGCGAAGATCTGTGCCCATCTTCCTCTATTTTGTATGCGGGTTGCCACCACAGCATGACTAATAAGTGGTGTAGGTCCACGCCCGGGATCTGAACTGCAAACTCGGGCAGCCGAAGCAGAGTGGGCCAAACTTAACCACTATGCCATGGGGCCAGCCTCTATGCTGAGTCTTAATTCTTGAAATTTTCTCATCTCTCCTCAACCACTGAGTTTTCCCTCTCTACTCTAAAAATGTGGGAGCACTTCCCATCTTAAACACGCCAATGTTCAGCTGACATGCTCCTCCAGCTCTGTCTCCCCTTTATAGCTAAACTCTCCCCTCTTCCAAGTCTCCAATCAGGCTTTTGTTCTTCCCACTCCAATGAAGCTGCTTATCAAGATCATACACAAACTCACCTTGTCAAATCCAGTCACTGTTCTGTCCTATCCTTAATCTCTCAGAAGCAATTCAAACAACAGAACACACCTCCCTTCTTGAAACACTTTTCTTGGCTAGTAGGACACCAACCTCCTGCCACCTCACTCTGTTTCTGGCTTCTTCCCTTTTACTACCCTTTACATGTCACAGACTGCCAAGGCTTGGTCCTATAGGTCTTCTGTCTACCCTAGCTACATTTTGTCAACCTAAATAAAGAGGAAAATTGAGGCAAGCTTGAAGCGCCAGAAATCGAGTTTCTTGGGAAATAGCAGAAGAATTGCAATTCAGGACACACAAACTGTAGCAAGCTACAGGCGAGTCCACTGAGGCTTTGGTGGGGGGCCATACTTATGGGCAAGGAGTGCAAAGAGAGGGGAATTCCAGTTAGAGTCCAAGTGGCAAGGTCACTGGCTTGAGGATGGTGAGAAGTTTCTGGTGGATGTTCACTGGTTGAGGGATGTTTCAGTTTTCAGGCATTCAGGGGAAATCAGTCTCTCAGTCCTTAAGTTTTGTTTTCCTGAGGACACATGTGATGTGCAAGATTCTCCATTTTATATCCTCCAGTTCCATCTAAGATTGAAATCTTTTTCACAACCTTCTCCTAAGATATCGTACCCAGTCCCCAGGCTTTCAATGCCATCCATACTCAAACTCTCCCAGAGCTGATGGATCCTTCCTCCGAGCTGCAGACACAGATTCTTCCTAACATCTCAACTTGGAAATCTACTTGGCCCCTCAAGGTTAACATGGTCAAAATCTGATTAACTTTTCCTCCAAAATACATGCTATAACAAATCTAGTCCTATCCTCCACATCGATTATCACCACCCAGATCTAAATCACCATCATCTCTTGCCCATGGCAAAGGCCTCCTTACTGATTTCCCTCATCCTACTCTTATCCCCCTGCAATCCAGTCTTCAAATAACAGATTATTTTTTCTAAGTGTCTATCAACCATGTCACTCCCCTACTTCTCTGTGGCTTTCAACTGCACTTGGAAAAAGACATTCTAATTCCTTCGTGGTTTTAACAGGCCCTAAACCACCTGGCTCCTGTCTCACTTCCCTGACCTTAAGGCCTACCAATACTTCAGCTACAATGCTTTCATTTTTGTTCTTCACACACACCAAGCTCATTTTTGCCTTAGGACCTTTTCAATTGTTCCTTGGGCCTGGAAGGCTTCTCCTCTAGGTCTTCACCTGGCTCTCATCTCTAAGTCAGCTCCTCAGAAGGTTCTTCTCTGACCACCCTGTCCCATCGGTCCCTCTCTATCATATCACCCTGTTTTATGGAATTATTTATCTATTCACTTGCTTCTCCCAACTTAACAACAAGCTCCATAGAAGCAGGAGCCATGATGTCCCACCATGTTCCCAGCAACTAGGACACACAATAGAGGCTTAAAAATATTAGTTTAATCCAATAAAACCACAGACTCTGGCCAAAAAAAAAAAAAAATCGAACAAAAGAAAAATAAACTCCCCCTGAAATAGTTGGGTCCAGAGCAAAAGAAGAATTATACCATGTGCAAACAACGCTGAAGGAAGAAGGTACCAGGCATACTTATAGAATTCCCTGGGATGCAGCTAGGTATCCTTAGGCAAGTCACAACATCACTGCACCCATTTTCCTCTTCTTAACATAGGGGAGCTGAACAAAACAACTCCTCAACCCCCAGCTGGCCTTAATTCCACAGTGTGTCAACATCTGCATTAACACATGCAGACAACGAACCCTGGAAGAGAGACGCCCCACGTAACCCAGATGGTTTGGTGGATAATGAAGGTAGGGAGAGAGAAGGTTAAGGAAGTCGAGAGCCTTTAAGAAAACTGAGCTTGGATAGGCTCTACCTCCCTTTTTTGAAATCTGGTCATAAGCAAATTATTCAACTTCTTAGAATCTTGGTTTTCTGATAACAGGGTAATTTCTGCATATTTTTAGGGTTATTGTTGTGACCAAATAAAATACTTTATGTGAAGGCACACACTGTGTAAGGGCTAGGAAATGCACGGTCAGATAATTCTTAACATTAACTAGGAGATAATGATAATAGTAATCAATTATTTTGTTCTCAGTAGCCAGAAGATGTGTAAGAAAAACATTACCCTGGGTTGACCTGAGAGGTGGAACTAGAAATACCAGCAAAGGCCAGATCTTTGAGTAAACTTGGGCAAACTGGGGATCATGTACTTTAACTTCTCTAATTTCTGATATTCCCTCGTGATTTATCTCTTGAAAACAGTTTACTGAGAACATTGATGTGATGAGGAGGGGAGGAAAGGCAGTGGAGAAGCCAGGCGAAGAGCTACGGACTGACTGGCAGGAACTCAAATCAGAAATTCTAGGTCCCCTGAGTGGCAGTGTCAGGTTACTTAGGTGACAGTAAAACCCTCTGCACAGGGAGGCCACCACCTCCTGAAAATAATTCAGCAATATCTCTAGAGCTGAAATTCCTATAGCAGAACGGAATAAGAGAAGACGTATTAAATGTTAAGAGGAAGAATTACTGACACTTGGGTTTGAGGGGAAATGAGGAAATGGGATGCCTCTGCTTATCTGACCCTTTCTCCACTCAGGTTTCCTCTTGCAGCACTGGAGGGGAGGCCAAAAGAAAACCAAACACGCTGTAGCTGGGACATGGGTACTGACCAAATGCTGGCTACAGGGACCTTCAGAGATTCAGAGCAACTTCCACTTAAATAAGCTGGTTACCTAAGGGCTTAGGTGCTGTGAACACACAATGGACGAGACCAACAGGGCCCTGGTTGCTCGGAGCCTACTGTACTGTTCACTCCTGCTCTTCTGGTCTTTGCTCACACGCGACTCTTGAGTTTTTCCTTCTTCTCTTGGATCACTACCCTACTTGCCTAACCCCAAACCTGCACCTCTCCCCCGTATAAAAACTAGTCTTGTGGCTAAACCTTACCAAAAGGAAGGCAATGCATAGTTTGTTTTTAAGAGTAAATCTATTAAGTAAAACCATAGCATTTATTTATCTCAACTTATCATCAGTGTATCAGAGACAACCTGAATTACTATTGATTGCCCCCTTCCAAATCTACTTCACTTTATCACCTATCATCAGATATATCAGGTCTGAGGGAAGAAAAGAAAGTCTACCACAATTGCTGTGTTTTGTTTCAACCATCTAAGAATTTTCCCATGAATCAGATGTTGGATCTGATTACTGTCATCTTTAAATCAACCTAAATAATTAAAGTTCAGGGTGACAACAGAGAAGAAATCAGAACTATTGGTGATCTTAGTCAACTAATTACCGTTTAATTTTTAAGAAAAACATCTGGCTAAAAGATAACTTTTTATGTAATTATGTTTTTAATTGAGATAAGAATGTTTATTTTTTCCTGCTTCGTTTTCTTCTAAGAATGAATTTAATGTGGCCAATTGCCTCAATACTGTGAATTAAACAATATATTTCCAGATACCATAATCCAAAGGAGTGGTTTAAACACAAGGAAAAAACAAAAATGTAATGGAAACAGAAAACCAAAAGGAAGTATGTGACCATGTGAAGGGTCAAGAATCCAGTAAGAGCAAGAAAAAGACAAAAGAGGGCCGGCCCAGTGGTGTAGTGGTTAAGTTCCTGCATTCCACTTCAGCGGCCCAGGGTTCCCCGGTTCAGATCCTGGGCGTGGATCTACTCACCGCTCATCAAGCTATGCTGAGGCAGCATCCCACACAGAAGAGCTACAACCCCACAACTATGATACACAACTATGTACTGGGGCTTTGGGGAGAAAAAAAAAAAAAAGGAAGACTGGCAACAGATGTTAGTGCAGGGCCAATATTCCTCAAAAAAAAAAAAACAAAAGACATAATAGCAGACTGCAAGTCTGTTCCTTTTACCCTGACAATCTGTACCTCTGCTCTCATTTCAATTACTCTCATCCTAAGGTTAGAATATGAACATGCTCCTTCTCCTCTAGCACTATCTTCCTGCACAGGGCCACCATGTTTCAGATCGAATTATCTCCTAGAATTTCACAATGCTAAAAACTGAGAGGGGGAAAAAAAGGGAAATATTTATTTTTAAAATATACAACGCAATATAGGAACCAATTCCTTTCCAGACTTACCAAATGCTGGTGCACTAGAAATAGCAACTGGTTGCTGTTTCATAACCGGGGGAAGTGCAGAGGGGAGTTGATATCCTTGTAGCTTCAGTTTGATAAGTTTCATAGCAATGGAAAACTCCACTTGATCCATTCTTCCATCATTATTCATATCAGCTAGCGCCCTGCAAACCAACAGCATGGGCTGAGAATGACTATGACCTTAAAAGAACCTTTCCTAAACCACCCCTCCCACCCACACGAAAACAAAATAATCAGCTCCCTTAATCCTGGAGAGAACAAAACAGAACAAAACAAAGCAAAACATAAAAAAACTTGTTTACCAAGCTATAGGGAGTAACCTGGAAATAGTGGCAAGGTTTTAAATAAATGTAAAATACCTTTTCTTGTGTTACTCTTATATGATACACAAGGTAGTTTTCAGTCTGAGTGTCAGGACATGTTTTTTTTTTTTTTTTTTTTTTGTGAGGAGATCAGCCCTGTGCTAACATCTGCCAATCCTCCTCTTTTTTTGCTGAGGAAGATTGGCCCTGGGCTAACATCCGTGCCCATTTTCCTCCACTTTATATGGGACACCGCCACAGCATGGCTTGCCAAGCGGTGCGTCGGTGCACACCCGGAATCCGAACCGGTGAACCCTGGGCCGCCACAGGCGAGCACGCACACTTAACCCCACTTGCGCCACTGGGCCGGCCCAGGACATGTATTTTGAACATCAAATGGGGTTTCTTTTTGGAGTGATGAAAATGTTCTAAAATTGGATAGTGGTGATGGTTGCACAACCCTGTGAACAGACTAAAAACCAATGAATTATACTCTTTAAAACTGTGAATTTCATTCTGTGAATTATGTGACAATAAAGCTGTTTACAAAGAGCATTTAGAAACACAGTTTATTTCTAGAGACACTTGATTAGATTGCATCAACTCCTCTGTGGGGTTCTACAAACCTCACCATGGGGGCATGACATGCTATGCTATGCTATAATACAATACTTTTAAAGCTGTGAAAATTAATTAAATGAGTTTACAAACGTGTTTACTATTTGAAAATAGTACTCAAACATAAACGGTCAAGTGCAACTTTCAATGAGCTATTATGTGTGTTCTCAAAGAAGAGTAAGCAAAAGGAAGGAGTTTGTACTTGCCACTAGAAACTATATTATGCAAAGCCAAATAGCGCATATTCATGACTTAACTTCTTTTGCATGAAAAATGTTCATTCAGGGCTGGCCTGGTGGCTGAGGGGTTAAGTGCTCGCGCTCCGCTGCTGGCGGCCCGGGTTCGGATCCCGGGCACGCACCAACGCACCGCTTCTCCGGCCATGCTGAGGCCACGTCCCACATATAACAACTAGAAGGATGTGCAGTCATGACATACAACTATCTACTGGGGCTTTGGGGAGAAAAAAGGAGGAGGATTGGCAAGAGATGTTAGCTCAGAGCCGGGTTTCCTCAGCAAAAAAAAAAAAAGAGGAGGATTAGCAGGGATATAAGCTCAGGGCTGATCTTCCTCACAAAAAATAAAAAAATAATAAAAAAAAATGTTCATTCAGATTTCATTTCTTTTACTTTAGATATAAAAAGCATGAGGATTTATCTTTTAAATCTATCTTTAAAAAAATTTATAAGACAAGACCAGCTATTCCAATTACAATGCCATGACTAGCAATCTTTTAAATGAGCCACATCCAGATAGTGTCCAAAAAAGATTAAGTTAGGTAGAAAATCATCCTATATTGCTGGAGTTAAAGAAAGAAAATATGAAACACAATAAAAAGTGTGACACACAACAAAGATTAAAAATCTCAGGGCTGGGCTGGCCCCGTGGCTTGGCGGTTAAGTGTGCACGCTCTGCTGCTGGCAGCCCGGGTTTGGATCCCGGGCACACACCGATGCACCGCTTCTCCGGCCACGCTGAGGCTGTGTCCCACATACAGCAACTGGAAGGATGTGCAGCTATGACATACAACTATCTACTGGGGCTTTGGGGGAAAAAATAAATAAATAAAATTATAAAAAAAAAAAAAAAATCTCAGGGCTGGCCTGGTGGTGTGGTGGTTAAGTTCGCAAGCTCTGATCCCGGGCGTGGACCTACACACTGCTCATCAAGCCATGCTGTGGTGGCATCCCACATACAAAAGAGAGGAAGATGGGTACAGATGTTAGCTCAGGGACAATCTTCCTCACCAAAAAAAAAAAAAAGATTAAAAATCTCTAAAAAAGGTAAAAACTGTACAAGTCAACACAATTCTTCAGGAAAATAAGTTCAGAAAGCAGGATACAGAACCCCATGGCTCAAGAACCTCCTTTTTGCCTCAGACAGGAGCACCCCGGTCCTCCTGAAATCAATGGTCCCCTCCTTCAGCAAACCACCCGGTGGAATCTGAATTTCATGCACTGCTAGTGAGCTTGAGCATCACTTTCCATATGTTTCTTGGTCATTTGGATCCCTACTTCCATGAATTGCTCATTCACATCCTTTGCCAAGTCTTCTGATGGATTGCATGTCTTTCTCTTGTCAGTTTATAAGAACTTATTGTATATTAGATACTAATTGTGTATCTGTCAATTGTTGATTTTTAAAAAGTCATTATCTGACTGTTCATTTTATGTTAAATGTATTTACCGTATAGAAATTCTACATTTTTATATATAAAATATTTCTTTTATCATAATAGCTTGTAAGTTTTCAGTCCTTTATTTTCTAAGATTGTATTATTTCATTACATTTCAATCTTTAAACCAACTGCAATTGTGTGCATATGTGTGATATGTTACCCCAGGGTTCAACTACATTTCTTCCAGATGGATATCTAGCTTTCCCAGCAATATTTATTAACTAATCCATCCTCTTCTCACTGAACTAAAAAATATATATATTTTTTTGTGAAGACTAGCCCTGAGCTAACATCCGATGCCAATCCTCTTCTTTTTGCTGAGGAATATTGGCCCTGGGCTAACATCCGTGCCCATCTTCCTCTACTTTATATGGGACGCAGCCACAGCATGGCTAACAAGCGGTGGGTCGGTGCGCACCCGAGATGCGAAGCTGCGAACCCTGGGCCGCCAAAGCAGAATGCGCACACTTAACCGCTGCAACACTGGGCAGCCCCCCCCCAAAATATTTTTGCTACTTACTAAATGTTCATGTGATATGAGACCTCTTTCTGGATTATCTATTCTGATTCCCAGGCCAATACGACAATGATCTGATCACACTGGCTCTATGGTATGTTCCGATATACGGAAAGGCTTTTTTTTTTTTAAACTTTGGCTATTCATAGACGTTTCTTTTTCCTCACGAACTTTATTTTTTTTACGTTTATTTTTTTGGGGAGGAAGATCAGCCCTGAGCTAACATCCATGCCAATCCTCCTCTTGTTGCTGAGGAAGACTGGCCTTGAGCTAACATCTGTGCCCATCTTCCTCCACTTTATGTGGGACGCCGCCACAGCATGGCCTGACAATTGGTGCGTCCGTGCGCGCCCAGGATCTGAACCCGGGCCACCAGCAGCCAAGCGCATGCACTTAACCGCCACGCCATGGGGCCGGCCTTCCCTACGAACTTTAAAATCATTTATCTATTCTGCAAACAATTCTATTGGGATCCAAGCTGAAACTACAATAGATATATTAATTAATTTTTGGAGAATTGACAAATTTATGATAGTTTGTCCACCAAAGAAAACAATGTCTTTCCATTTGCTCGGTTCTACTAATAATCTCCTTTAATAATATCACCTTCTTCATATAAATATTTTTCTTATTAAATGTATTCTTAGGAATTTTATCATTTTTGTCACTATTTTAAGTGGAACATTTCCCTCATTTTCATATTTAGTGTTTATTCCAAGCATAGAGAAAAATTTTGCTTTTAATAATCACTTATGCTGTATTCAGCTATTATACCAAACTTCTATGAATCTTACTATTTTTTCAAACTAAGATCTCTTGGGTTTGAAGTATACAATCACATAACTGGCAAAAAAAAAAAAGAGCTCAGGGGCGGGCCCTGTGGCATAGCGGTTAGGTGCAGGTGCTCCACTGCTGGCAGCCCGGAGTTCAGATGCCAGGCGCGCACTGACGCACCACTTGTCAGGCCATGCTGTGGCGGCGTCCCATATAAAGTAGAGGAAGATGGGCACAGATGTTAGCCCAGGGCCAGTCTTCCTCAGCAAAAAGAGGAGGATTGGTGTGGATGTTAGCTCAGGGCTGATCTTCCTCACAAAAAAAAAAAAAAAAAAAAGGGAGTTCACTTTCTTTTTCAATATTTGTACCATTCCTCTTTTTTATTGGTCTTATTGCCTCTAAGATATTATTGAATGTGTGAGCATCCCTGCTTAGTTCTGAGTTTAAATGAAATGATTGTAGTGTTTCATTGTTTAGAAGAATATTTGGTAGTGATTTTTAGAAAGCAGTCTGACATATTTAAGCAGTTCCTTTTTCTACTTATTAGAAATGGTTATTATATTTTTTTATCAAATGCCTAATCAGCATCTGCTGATCTGATCACAAGTTTTCTTTTTCCATTTATCTGCTGATAGAACAATGTTGAGAGAATTTCTTAATTCTGAACCAATTTTGTACCCTCAGCATAAACTCAAGTTGGTCAGTTTTCATACACTGGGGAATTCTATTTGCTAAGATTTCGTTTTGATTTTTTGCATCTATATTCATAATTGAGACTAGTCCCTTATTGCTTTATTTTTGTATTATCTTTCAGGTTTTATAAAGGAAGTTAAATAAATAAAATGAAGCGGTGAACTTTCCTTCTTTTGCTAAGTATTTCTAAAAAGATATAGAGCTATTTCAAACGGTTTTCAGGGAAAAAAAACTTCCAATCGATCAACATCAACATGCATACTCGAAAAAAAAATCAGGCAGATAGATCCCCACTCCCTATTCCTCACACCAATGCCCCCCAACACATGTGTTTTAGTGAGAAACAGAAATATCCAATGTGGGATGATGAGTGGGCTAGAGGAGAAGAGACTTTCTAGTAATGGCTTAATTAGAAGAATTGAGTGTTTCTAGAAACCTTTCCACCGAAGTGCCTCAATGGGAGAGGAGGGGAAACATGGAATCCTCAGGTTCTAGACGCTTGCTTGCCTTTAAGCCCCCACCACAATCCCAACATATTTTTGAGAATTTTGTGTGATCTTT